TTACTGGTGTTACAGTGTACGCTCGTCACACACACACACACACACTTACTGGTGTTACAGTGTACGCTCGACACACACACACACACACACTTACTGGTGTTACAGTGTACGCTCGTCATACGGGTGAAAATATCGTTAAGAGCGACAGTATTGAGCTGATGAAACAATGTATTCTAACCTTTAAATGTAAGAACGTTATAATAGTACATTTCATTCGCTTTCAGTTGGCAGCTTGCTATGATTGGAGGTTAGTATTAATACATTTCCTAGTATTAGTACGAATGGTATGTAGACATACGCTAATATTAACACACCTTAGCGTTAGAACATGTACACGAGTGGTATTGCAAATAGTAATTTTTATTTGTTTTTTATACAGAAAGTGATTTGTTAAATCAGCTCTTTAGAGGTACAGAAATGTGGTGCGGGATATGAACAAGTGAACGTTATAAAGTGGATACCTTGGATACGGATATGTAGGATATTTAAAAACATATTTAATGTTTCCCTCGAACTAGTTAATGTTGCCGGTCAACATTTGTTTTTTGAAATGATACAAAAATAAAGTACGTATATTTGTTATTTCTAGATATTGTCATCTAATAAGTTAAATGTAGTTAATAACAGTTTAAAAATAAGTTTAACTTTGGGAACTTTCCTGCAAAATTCTTATTTGCTGCAAATTACAAACAAGGGCAGCTGCCAAGAAATTAAAAATAAAATATAGTGCAAAATAAAAATAGATACATTTAAAAGATATATAAATAGGTTAAAATGGGTAGTAACATACCATACGATAAGTATAAAAGCATCGAAAGGGGCCCCCTAAAATGAACCCTTGCCCTGGCCCCATTTTCCTAAGTTCGACCCTGCTTACAGTAGGAAAGTTACTTCGAACTTGGGAATTAAGTGGGGACTTGTATTAGGGGAAAGATACTTTGAACTTGGGAATTTACAGTAGGATATTTACTTTGAACTTGGGATATCTTGAACCTTGTGCATGTTTGCATTCTTGCCTTTTTTTTAGGAGTAGTAACTGAGAGAGATGTTTAGCGTGAAGTTTGTTTGTTTGAAAAGTACAGCGGGACTGGAAGCATTCATTATGAATCATGAAATGGAGGACTTCACTGGTCATGTGTTACATTCATCTAACCCTGAAACCTTTTATTATATGTAATGTAGAAACACTGTCATGGTAGCATTGGCGGAACTCCTACCATTCGTCATTTAGAACAAATATGTCTGTGTCCAGACTGACTGGACATTTATCTCGTTTATATTAACATATGGTTAAAGTTCTGATCACTACGTTCTTTGTTACAATAGTGGTATTAACAATGCTAGGTTTATTTAGGTTCTAAATATCATCGACAATGTTCAGTAAGTTTGTCTGGATATTTAACTTGAGTGTCGTGTGATCCATGTAATGGATCGTGTGTGCATGTCGTGTGTGTGTAATGACTGAAACAGTGGTCCAGTGCCGTGTGTGCGTGTAATGACTGAAACAGTGGTCCAGTGCCGTGTGTGCGTGTAATGACTGAAACAGTGGTCCAGTATCGTGTGTGCGTGT